GGGGGGGTCTTTCAAACCAGACTTCTGCAAGTTGGCAGATGGCTGTTTCTGGAGATGGCCTGTTTTAATAAGACCGATGGGTTTCACTCTCACATACCTGTAGCAATTATTATGGAATTTGTTGTAAGAAGAGAGAGTAATTAAACCTCCCCATGCTGCAGATAAGGAGAAGAAAATCTGAGTGGCAGCATCCTTCCAAACCTAAGGCAGGCAAGAGAGAAAATAACATTGGCTTCAGGAAAAAGTATTAGAAAGATCAACAGCACTACTACATGTAACTGTTAGGAGATTAATACAGAAGAAGTTTCAATGAACACTAAAGCAACAGATGTCAATAAAACATTTAAAAGCAAAATCCTGCCCCAAAATACATAGTGTCCATTTGATGAGTACTCCTCTTCTTGTGGAGCCCGTATAAAATGACAGTACAAAGTTTGCCATATATGGAAGGCACAAATATTCAAGTTATATTGCTTGATACATATCAGTTCAAATATATTCAGCAAAGAAAATACAAATCAAGAGGAAAAATCTGTATCGGGTGCTGATGGTTTATTCGTCAGTGGTCCTAAACAATACTTTATCTTTGTGATAGAAGAACAAACCTCAGATTTGCTTGTTGCACTACTTATAAATAAGTTGACATCAAAATTAGGGTAAATTTCTATCATTAAGCGTACATCAAACAGCACAGGGTAAGCTAGGGGTATTTAGACACCAGGACCCAGTTTCCTCCCATCAGAAGAAAAGACATGTTCAGCCAAGTCTCTCTTGAAAAACAAACACACACACAACCAGACAGCATTGCTTGTTCTGTAACAAAGTTCTTCAACGCCTTAAACGCATTTAGATAAAATATTTCTAAATTGCCTGGAATTTCAAAGGAGTTTGTCCTACTTATCACTTGCAAAAATGTTGGAAGCATTGATATTTCTATTTACCAGCTTTCCTACAAAGTCTGATTTTTCCACCCATGTAGAAATGGAGATGCATGTACATGCACAGATATACAGGTGGACCTATACACACACTAACCAGTCTGAAGATATTACTTAAACACTACTTGAAAAGTTACCAGCCAACAAGCAGTCAGTCCTTCATCTAAGCGTAATATACTCATGTTAAAACTGCAAATAAAATTAAAAACAGAAGCTCGCCTGAATATTATCAAACACTTACCCAGGGTTGTACAGACACTTAGTGTATTCAGGCAGCTCCATTTTGCAAAAGGCAACAGTTCTCACCTCCTTTATTGCACAATGTGGGATGCAAAAATGCTTGTATTTAATGCAAAATTAATTTCTGTATGGTTTGCAAAAGATTTAATACTCCCATCACCAAAGAATCAAAATAGCCATTATTGCAGAGATATTAAGGAAAATAAGATCTGCATAATTCATCCAGAAAACTGTTTTCAGCTTTAATTATCAATCTATCAGTGTGATATCACACTGCTATTGATAGAGGAAAAAAATTCTTAGGGAAAAACAAACAAACAAACAACAAACCAAACAGGTATTTTCCTGAGGTGTTGCCAAAAATCCCACTTGAATTTCTAGACAAGACTCCGATTTGTGACCCTCAGCTCAGGTTTCAATTCAGGCTCCAGACTCCTGCCTCAAAACCCTTCAGACGGACACGCAGGCGCTCGTGTGCCACGTCACAGAAGAAACGTATGATCCATAGGTGCGTTTGGGTCTACACAAATGCAAATCCACATGTATTTTTGGAACATGTTTGACTGGCTTCATTGGCAACAAATGGCTTTTTAGAAATCAATCAAAATCGTGAGGCAGCAGAGCTGCAGCTCCCCCTCAGACAGTCAGTGCTGAAAGAGCAAAGCCAGGGACCAAGTCTCTTAATTTTGTCCTCTCCTACAGAGCAAGTGGCCTTGTTTATTACACTGCAGGTAGGATAAAGATCACAGCTGTCCTGTGTCAGTATATGTGCTATCGGGGAGTTAGATTAGGATCTATAATTTGATTTTGCTTAATGTCTCATATGCGTTATTCAGAACAATCTTTGCTCAATGAGTAAAATACACGTATTCGGAGCATTTCTCAAGAAATGCATGGAAGTTTATGATGTTACCTACTAAAAGTTTTCTGTGCTTGTTCAAGTCAAGGCAGCATCCAACAGACATCAGCGTATGAAAATCTACACTTCCTTTTTAATTCCCTATTTTCCAAATGCACCTACTCAGAGATTCGGGTGAAATATTAGATGTGAAGTAAATAACATACCTATAATAACACTCGCAAAAAAATGTTACGTGCACGCAAATAACAAACATCCATGGCAACAACACTCGAAGTAAGATGAAGAACAAATTCCTGCAGATGACAATACTACTTCTGCACATAGTGTCTGTTGCAAGCATTTTCTAAGACATCTGTATGACTTATTCACCCTAGCAGAGTTATAAGTGCAATAACAAGCCCACCATAGCATCAATTAGCTTCTCCCACTTCGGCGTGATGAAGTACCAGATTCCAGCTCCAGCTCCAGGTAGCGTTACTCCTCTTATAAGAAGGATGATGAGAACTACGTAGGGGAACGTAGCTGTGAAGTACACCACCTGGACAGATAAAAAAAAAAATATTGAAAGGGCTTATTTGGATCCGTAAGAACAGAAGGTGGGAAAATAGGGAAAATACAAGTGCTACATTATTGCCTGAAGAAAGCAACTACTCGGGCTCAGAGACAATAGCCAGGGGATAAACTAGGAAGACAACAGGGTTATTTCCCAGGAAATCTGATTTTTTTACAGCTCTTCTTGCTGCTGGAAACAGGAATCATATCAATAGCAACAGAGGTAACAGTTGGGATTCTAGATAGAAAGAGAAAGAAAAAGCAGAAAAGAAAGTGAGGAGAGGAACAGTAGGAATTCACAGCTAAGCAAAAATATCACTTTTGATCCTTGCCCAGAGTAAAATAACACAGTTCAGTGGAAATGAAATGAGCAATGCCATTCAGTAACACTTAAATTTCTGATTTTTTTCTAAATCTTTCTCTGTATTGAACTAAACTTAAAGAATTTTTATTATTGTTTGTACCTCTTAATAATTACATATCACCATAACAGTATTTATGGACCAATGCAAAAAAAAGAAAGTCAGTGGAAAGATCCAGATAGACCTAATCATCATTAAATCTAAACACACAACAGAGGTTGTGTGTTTAATGTCTTAATAATTATCTAGTACAGAGCAGAGCTCTCTCTGTGGTCTAATAAAATGGCTAGATCATGGCCAGTTCAGCTGCGCGCTCTACCCCAGAGCATTTAAAATCCTTCTCACATTAACCTCTAAGTCTTACAGGGACCGGAATCCTCTGAGCTGAAGGGACTGTTGAAACTGCTTTCCCAACTTTCTCTTTGCTGTTTCAAGAAGTCTTTCAAGAAGTTGCCCCAAAGAATTTTTGTGCAGTGAATAAGTTGAACTCATCTATGTATAAACACAGGATTTCTGTCCCTGACACCAAGGAGTCAGTATTTTCCTTGACCACTAAGACTCACTTAAAGAAATATCTATTGCTGCATCCGAACCGAAGTTTCTTTCCTGTATATCATCATTTTTTTGACTCTGGCCTTTCATGAAACAGTTTTTCCTATCACACTAAGAGGGGAGGGGGGGAAGTCTCGATTTTCCCTGGCACTCTGAATCTGGATTTTCTACTAATTCCCAAGGTACCTCCCAACAGATGTCAGCTTCTAAATGCAAAAGGATGGTTCGGAATCAGAAACCCTGTCCCCAGCTCTAGAAAATTCAGACCTACCTCTGCATATCCACCATCTTCATCCCAGGAAATATCTAGTTATTTTCCTCCAGTTTTTTTATCTTTTCAGCCTACTTTTTATAAACATGCTAAATTTACGCTATGTCATCACCTAACATTTCAACCTGGGTGCTAATTGCAGTTGCAT